GTACTGGTGTCCCACTGTACTTCCACCACTAACTCCTGTTTAGCTGCCGAGCTGAGAGGGCTTTGTCTGTGAAAATGACCATGTATTACCAGCCTCTCCTATTGCATATTACTTTATCACACCATTTTTAACCAGTGCTTTAATTCAGTGCTGGTTCTTACACACAGGGCCTCCCTGCTTTAAATCCACTCGAAACCTTTTTTCACTAAGATAATCAATCACTTCATTGACCTAAAGTATCTCTGTTTCCAAGTGTTTAGTCATCAAGGCATCAGGTCTGTGGCTCTCCAAGCCCAGTACTAAGGCAGGGCTGGACAAAGTGTTCTCTCAGAGGAAAGAGCTTGGCACTCTATAGCCAGTGAGTGGGTATTTCGAAAGGCCTTCTGCTGAAATGAAGGCAAATTTGATGCAGAACACTGCGTGATGTATTCTATTACCTGTGTCCTCCTTTTCTGATTTAATCTGATTAATGAGAAAAGGATCATGCTGTGGCACTCTTTTGGTGCAGTGTTATAATGTTATATAACTCTGAATATCTACCCACTGTCATTGGTGAAGAGAGGGGTTTATGGAGTAGGTGGTTACAGTTTCCCCATCCACAAGGCAAACAGAACTCTGTCTCAGCACTTTTTGGTCCCCGTGCTGTACAGGGAAGATATTGCTGCTCTGTGAAGGCTACTTCAGGCCTGGAGGGAATGTCATACTAGAATAAACTTAGGAGCCTGAATCTTCTTAGCCTGGGCTAGAGAATTTTAAAAGAGAACTTGATTTAAAGTGTTCAAACTCCAGGCCTTAAACAAGTCAACTCAGGGGACACTTTCAAAAACACAGAGGACACTTTCAAAGTCAGCAGCATCACAATGACCTGGGGACACAAGTAAAAATAACATTTTTAGTCCTGAGTGACTCTCAACAGGAGTGGGCCGAGGGAGGCTGCAAAAATCTCCACAACTGTGTTTTGTGAGCCCAAATGAGAAGGGGATAGATAAGACTGTACACTTGTGAACTTTCTTTGGCTGTTATTTTTGGAACAGTTTTATCACATAGCCATATAAACAGTCATTTACCACATACAGTCATATAACCCAATGTTCTGTAGGATTTATAAGGAGTTTTATCTACTGTGTTTTGTGCAATCAGTTCAAATTTAAAGAGGGCAGAACTTAAGCTTCAGAAGTTGCCCCTGTAGGGACTGAGTGGTTGACCACTGCAGCCGTCAATAGACCACACATTCTCTCTGGTCAAAGCTTAGGCTTGTAGAGTCCTCAGGCAGTGGGGTCATTAAAGTCCTTATCTCTTACACATAAAAGGGATGACATGCTCTGCACCTTGTAAGAAAGCTACTGAAAGATGACTAACCCAATCTATGACAGATATTGATATTGCAACACTTGTTTCCAGACTCTAGCAGAAAACAGTGAGGAGGAGCTCAGTCCTCACTCCCACAGTCAGCCTCCCAGCCTTCCCTCTCCTTCCCAGAATGCACAGTGCCAAGAGAGCATGTCAGGCTGGCTCACCTCTTGTGGGGAGCTCCTGGGGCTCTTGGTGTCACAGAAAACTGTAGACTGGAAACTCTGACGTAACTGAGGCACGTCAAGGGGCAGCGGCAGGCATCAGAGGGAGGCCAGGAGATCCTCAATATGCATTGGCTCTGACTGCCTCCCCTCCTTTCTCCTCCTTAATTCATGATCACTGGATCCTGCAGGTGCGGAACACTGCTCTGGTCAGGGGGGCGCAGGGTCGAGGGAGGTAACGCAGCCTGAATCGGAGTGAGCATGACGCCGGCCGTGTGAGCACAGACTGTCCTCTGTTGCCTGCAAGCAGCAGTACGTGATTGGCAATCAGGCCTGCTCCTCTGCTCACACCCTGGGCCAGATGTCCACTGCCCTCACCAGGAGCTCCTCCCAGACAGCATGTACACTGTGCTACTGTTGTAAACAGGAGAACTCGCCTGTAGCAAAATAGGTGTCACAAGGAGACGCTTGAAATGTTATGTATATGTTTCCAGACATGGGTAAACAGTGTTGTGCTACTACCTAAGTTTTCTGTTTCTGTATGCATTGCGTGATGCATATATAAGAAATATGAGCACTACTTGCATTTACTTTGGACATGCAAAGCACTAATGTGTGCTCATGTGATACTGAAAGAGTAAAGAGACTGGAGCCAATGGATTAAGAAGCACTTCGTACATGCCCTGCCCAGCACACATCACAGGCTTAGTAAGTAGCGCTTCCTGCATAGGTATTCTGCTGAAAATACAACCCTTTCAATAAAAGAGGGAGACAAAATGAAAACACACAGTCCTGTAAGACCAAAAAAAAAAGTGTTGGGCACAGGCATGGAGTTGCAGTCCTGGTGCCAGTGCCAGTTTGAGCAACCACGGCATATGTAGGCTGTCGTCCAACACTTGGGTTTGTTCTCTTGTAAAAGTGGAGCTGGGCAGGACAGCTAGACAGAGGCAGTGGAGGGCAAGCAGGGAAGTGGACACTGCACAGTAATGGCAGACAGCTTGAAGAGAAGGCTTTCTCCTGAGACAGAGACTGGGTGGTGTGCATATGTAGGACATTAAAGCGGGGACATCAGATGGTTGCTTAGCAGGACTGATCATGTGGAGAAACCTTTTTCCCCATTATGTCTCTTAATAACACTGCAGAACAGACAGCGGAACAGAGTCCACGGTATACCCTTCTGTCTTTTAGAATTTAACCCACTCCGAATCCCTCAACAGCAATCACCAATACACAGCCCCCTCACCCCACAAAAAACAGAGGCAGAAGAGGATGCCTTCAGAACATCTTTCAGAAAAGATTCTCGGATCTGGCTTTAATGTTTTTTCCTACCGACGTCGGAGGTGCTTTCTTGAGCCAATTAACAGCTGCCCCGCAGATGAATGAGCAACCCTAAAATTCCTGCATTCGAACTCCAAATTTAGAAAACTGGAACTCCGTCCTTGTGGTTTTATAATATAAAGTAAGAAAAAGGTTGTTCCCCTTTTCATTTGTTCTGTAAGAGGTTGAATAAATCAGGAGATTATAAGCTTGTGATAGGTGGACAAGGATACTGGTCAATGTCAGGTCACACCCTTTCACTGCTTTCATCAGATCTGACAAACAGTTTCTCCAGAGATTTCGGGCTCTGTCCCAGATGAAATCCTGTAAGGTTTTGCAATCAGCCCAAGCCATCAGTACTTTGTGATACGCTATCAGCACTGTGAAAGAAGTGTTTTTCGAGGGCCCAGTTAATCTCCCCTTGCTTAGTCAAGAACCAAACTATTGCAACAGCAGGCAAATGCCACTGGACCCATGTGCCACATGTGTCTTCACAGCGACTGGGGTTGGTTTTGCGATTAAACAGTGGTTTTTGCCAGAGGCTAATCAGCCCAGTGCCAGACTGAGCAAACAACCAGCTCTGGCAATTGAGAAGGGCTCTTGGGCTGCAGATAAATAGTCATAATAAAGCCATAAATAAGGTCACGTTCTGTCAATAGTTTGTTCTTAAAGAATGAGGCTCAGGTGACTTTGTTCCTCTGTTCTAACCCCTTCTCTGTGCTGAACTTTATTGGCCCAAATGGATTTGGCCCAGATTTGCCTTGCAGGCAGGTAAAAAGACATACACCACACATAACACATTAAACGCAAAATTAATCCCTTAACCAAAAAAAAACATACAGGCATAAGATTAAAAAACAAGTCAGGAGCGTTAAATAATCCTCATTTTCCAAAAGAGTTCAAAAACTCAAGAGGGTATCGGCGAGTTAGAAAGGTACCTAAGATACATACATGATGAAAAGAAAAAAGAAAGAGTGCATAGCTCTACTTGCCCTGCTCTGGGAAAAAGATGAGTGCAGAGGGTGTTCCTACAAGAGGACAGTTTGTGACATCATGCAGATCAAACTCCTGTCTTTTTTGCTTTACATTTGTGCTAAAGCAACTCAACATACATTGGCGATAATGGCAGACACAAAATGGCAGAACCATTGTGTTTAACGCTCTCAGTTCCGCAGATACATGTATATGACAGGCAGTCAGCTCTAATGATTGCCTGCTGGAATCCAGCTTCTGATCGCCGACGAGCTGAGCCCCTGGTTATTTCAACAAGTGCTCCTTCCCCTCAGAATCCGCGTGGAGAGAACCCTGAAAGTGTGCACAGGGCCTTTGTGAGAGAAGGAGAGCCCACAACAGAGAGTGTGCACTGTGGACAGGCCCTTCGGAGACAGCAAGCCATCAAGAAGCTTTTGTCTGGCATTATTTGTCATAAAGAACAAACACAGCAGGGTCACTCAATTGCTTTGCTTATAAAACGCCGACACGGTAACAGTTTTTTTCTGCTGCCTGTCATAGTACATTTCTGTCTTTTGAGTTAAAACCTAATACTGCTTTTACAAGTATAAAAAAATTAAACGTTTAGAAATTGCATTGTGTGGAATGGAAACACACCTGCACACCCAACTAGGAAGGACTCCTGTTTGAGCAGCCATCACATTGCGTCTAGTATCTCTTCTGTATGCGTGAGAACTTGCTTTCATATTTCTACAATTAATATATTGCTAGAGGAAAACCACTCTACCAAACTATACTATCTCTTCCTAGACTTAGTGGCCAAGACCAATACTCCTCTTACACGCATATGCAGTGGAACGTCATCATTTCGAAAGTCAGAGAAAAGAAGAGCTATCTACAGAAATCCTTGTTGATGTCTGAAGCTACAGTTCTGTAACCAGATTAGTCATTGTGGCTCAGTCTGCATAGTCATAAGAGGAGAAATTTACATGACCTCATAGTAACCAGTGAAAGGAGGACATTGACCCATTTAGCTCAAGCCCATCTGGTGGGTACTAGCTAATTACTCCAAGGACTTCCAGGAATTTGTTGAAAGAAACAGGATATCAGCTATGATGACATGGCTCTCACTTTGCTAAATTTCATACTCCTACTGTAGATCTCTTTGACAGAGAAGTGGCTCTTGTTCTCATTTTTGCTTGTTCCCTATTGTTTCAGCTCAAAATGTGCTGCAGTTCCTAATACAAGCGCCTGGCAGCTTCGTTCTGGAAGAATCAAATGTTAATACTTCCCGGGCCATGTGCTAGACAGAGCTTGGAGAACAAGGTGAGAATTGACTGTCAACATGTCAACACTCAAAATGCCATTTGGGGCCATATAGCACTCTCTGTAAGACAGCCTCACATACTGCAGTGCGCAGCCTGAGCACATGACAAGCTTCCAAAAACCACGAATAACAGGTGGACCGACATATTTACACAAGCAAGTGCTAACACAAAGGCCCCTTTGAGCTCTGACAGCTTGTACTTCATGCTCTGTTGTCACTACCACACTGTCTCGGGCACACAATTATATCAGCAAAGGGATTCTCTCTAGGATTCCTGGTTTCTGCCACTCCAGATGCACAGCTCGAGCAATTAGAGCTATGACAGACGTCAAAAACAGACTAAGGGGAGTCTGGCTGCAAGACTCACATGAAAATCCACTGCATGATATGCTGGTACAAGATGAAGCACTAATGAGTTTATTCAGGGTCTGGAGGTAGTGGACATGTTTAACTGAAAGAGGAGGAAAGTATGCCGAGATGTTAATAATCATAATAATAATAATAATAATGTTGCTTTATTAGCCCTATACAATTTCTTGCATTAGGAATCCGTCTTTTCGCATACCCCAGCTTGCTCTCCATGAGACACAGACAGGGAGAGAAGTTTGGGGTCAGAGCGCAGAGTCAGCTGTTGTACAGCGCCCCTGGAGCAGTTGGGGTTAAGGGCCTTGCTCAGGGGCCCAATGGAGTAGGATTCCTCTGCCAGCTGCGGGATTTGAACCGGCAACCTTCTAGTCACAGGTGCAGATCCTTAGCCACAGAGCCACCGCTCCTCCCTGTTCGATGTACTCGGGGAGAATTTTGCAATGGCTAAAGTGAATGAACTGTGAAACTTGTACTCTGCCTGCTCTCCACATTTTGAAATCTAACGTATCCCTGCAAAAATCAGACCTGCTATGTCCAAAACCCGTGCTGCTAAGCAATTAGCTTTTTAAAGCCATTCTTCATGTGGTTGAAACTACACAAAGCCTAGAGTTTTGTAACTGGGGAAAAAAAAATAAAATGAGAAGGATTCCTACGGCTGCCAGCCCAGCTCGTGGTGCTGGTGTTTGCCTGCGTGTCCTGCCTGAGCACAGGTTCCTCAGAAATACAGAACAGAGCCTTTCAGCTCCACTCCACTGTTTAAGGCTGCTGCCCAGTGCTCAGGAACATGCCACAGCACCGGAGGCCAGGGCTGAACAATGCCTCTGCAATCCGACGAGTGGACTGATAATTCAAGAGTGGGTCTCAGGCAGCTCTTTACTTACCTACACATTTTCACACACTCAAGGCCTGCACTTCCTCACCAGCATGGAAAACGTCTTTTCACATTTCACGTAGGACTATACCGCTTACTACACCATTTTTCTCATGAAGCTTATATTATTAGAGTCCACATTTGCTGTACACATACACTTCTACATAGTCTGCACGTAGGCATTATCACATCGGTGACTTCTCTGATGTATGGTATTACATTTTGTCCCTTTTTTCTGTCCAGGACAACGCGAGTCCAAACAATCTGGATGAAAAAAATCTCCACTCGGAGACACAGTAGAGCTATAGACCCCAAATGTTAACACATCATGAAACGAAAGCATAAAAAATTATCACCTTCACACCTCCACAACAAAGCCTCAAGTTTAAAATAAATAAATGGAATCCTACAGTGTCCTGGCTAAAAAAAAAAACTTTAGGCTTTAACTAAAACCACATGGAAGAATGGTTTGAAAAAGCTAATTGCTGATCAGCAGATAGTTCTTAATAGTATCAGAGAGGCTGGGGGCGGCAGTGTCACAAAACACACTAGGGTTACCTAGAAAGTCAACCGTATTGACTTACAGGGGATCCCAGCCTCTCCCACGTTGATCCAGAGATAAACCAATCTGTTTAACCTGGTGTTTCTCAAACAAGGATTCAGAACACCCTGATCCCGGAGTATTCTTTCAGTCTCCAGCAAGATGATTTTTGTTTTTCTTTCCCTAAGCGCAAGCCTGTGTGGGCTATTGTTTGATCTTAAAAAACGCCTCAGGCCAACTGATGCACAAATATACCAGGGGATTCGGTTTCACACTGTGCTACGTTACCACCCACTCGCTGGGAGAGAAATGTCAAAGAGAGAGAAAGAAAACAGGGTCTTTAGAGTGTCAATACTGATTTGCATTTTGGCTTACAGGGAACACGGGTTTTAGAACCACATCACCTAAGCAGAAGTTCAGATAAACACAACGACCTTTACTGTTTTTTTTTATTTGCAAGAAATCTGGTCTGCCACAGGAGTTATAATTTAGTGTTGCATTTACAGGATAAGGGAGAAACTGGGTTCTGCAAACTATAAGTACTGACGTTAAATAATTCAGTTCCCCTTGTTTGTGTAAGAGTTTTTTTTTCCTTTGCCTAGTGCCGTGTGAAGGTTCTGCTGCGGCACAGTCGGGTCCCAGGGGTTTCTCAGCTGTGTTACCAACACATACTGGCTGGCACTGCTACCTCCACTCTTCATGCACAGGGTCTGAAACCTGGAAAGGGTACAGAGAAGAGTTACGACGTGCTACGTGGCTCCTTGTGCAGTGCCATCTGAAAAATGCACTGCCAAGTAAACTCTGCAATACAAGTGAGAAAGACTTGTAAATGTTGATTTTTATGCTTTAGTACTTGCGTCGAGACAATCACCATGCAGCGCCGACACACTGATATGAGACTAGCCATCAAATTAGTCCGCAGAAAGGCATGCAGAAAATGGAGACCACGGATGATTAAGATTAAAGGGATTCATCTCAAATTAAATCCCACTGTACGTTTTACCTTAAATACATCATTGCGGAACGGAAAACAATTTTTCATGCCAGGGGCGAAAGCAGTGAGATCACTGTGGGGTGAAGCTGCGGGAGTCCATGGGGTACGTACATGTGGACTGGTCCATTTCATAAGTTAAATCTGACTGAGGGGGAGGAACTTCTGGTAGTAGCTCTTGGTGACATCGATCATGAGCTCCTGGGTGCACTCTGGCAGCTCTCCCATGAACAGGCCTGGGGCAGAAACGGAGAGGCAGTTAACCTGAGGGGCCCACCGAGAGCCGGGGACGGGCAGATGAAAAGAGAAGGCACTGAACACTTCTCTAGAACACTAAACGCAAAATTGCCATTCTCTGTGAACTGCTAGAATGGGTGTCTCTTCGCTACCCCTTGTGCACTCTGCCCCCTGCCCTCTGTCTCTCACCGGGGCAGCCAGAGAACACGGTGAACGGAGGCACCACGCTCTCGGGCGGCAGGACGGTGTTGTCCATGATCTTACAGCAGTCCTTGAGAACGCACCTCCGGCCCTGAAACGCAAGCAAAACAGCGTGAGAAGACCTGGGCTCCTTTCTGTGGAACAGGGGTAGTTTTCCCCAGTCTCCTTTAATCTTGACCTGGTACATAGCATGTTTTCATACCTTTCCCTATGTATAGCAGTCATATAAATCTCTGCTATACCTGTGATCTGGCTGCAGATTGGTACTAATTACATTTTCTACCTGTCACATTTTAGTCTTGTATTCCTGCTTCAGAAGAGCATATTCCTTTCCCATGGTGTTCTGTTTTCCATGGGTGTCCAGTACTGGGAAGGCTCTTGTTGTGTGTGCATGTGTGCTGGGCCCTAGAATTGAGCGCTTTTTCGTTTAAGGATTTTCACGGTCTATCAACAGCGATAGCATGTGCTGTCCATATGAGCTTTCTTTTGTGTGATGTTCGAATGGATACAGAGCAGCAGGGTTACAGTGAATGGAAAGATGTTTCTCACCAGCCCACAGACTGCGTTCGCTTTCCGGCTCTGCACTCTTTGCACCCCTTGAAGCCTAGCACAGACCTAATGGTGATGAGGAGAGCTTTGGCAATGCGCAATACGCGCCCCTCCTCCAGGCCCAGCTGTGTGAGCAGAGCCTGGTAAACAAGCGGGCTGGGCTTACAGATGCACGCTCAGGTAAACCAGCTGCCCCCCCTTCGCGTGTTCCCCTGATAAGACAGGACTTTATCTAATCAGAACACCGTACACGCATATGGCCACTGTATTGCTTTCTGTTGCAATACCAGTGACCCAGATCCCCCGAGTCTTTCACTTTTAACAATGGCGGCTGTGCTGCTTCAACTCTGTTATCTGCCACTGGCAGGTGTCCCAGCTGCACGGCAGCCTGCACATAAACGTGTTCGCTCGATCATTCCCCCCCTCCCTCCTCCCCACCCCAACCTCTCTCAGCTCTGGTCAGTGCGGACTTCACTACTTGCACGTCTGTCGGGAAGCATCTGTGGGAAAGTTCCAGCTGGGACGTGTAACCATACTGGTGCAGTTTATGAAGCTATGAACAGCAAAAAGCCTCCTTTTTACACTTGACATTACTCATCTTTCCAAACATGTCAGGAATTTAATGTCTGTCTCTCCCCCCCCCAGTTTGAATATAAATGTGAATGCTGAAGAACAGTGTTTACCACATCATCCTTTAGCACATTAGAAGCCTGTAGTTGTGGATAAAATGAGCTGCAGGTAAACAGCACAGTAAAATGAGATGGAGAGAGTGCAGCACGAATGAACGGGAAGGCGCTGTTCAGTGTCTGAAGCTTATCTGACATTTCTATCGTACACTGTCCTTAACTGAACGCTGCTGAGCTCACTCGAATCTTTGCTCTTTCACCCCACAGTGGAGGACAGTGTTCACAGTTAATCCTCCCATGACAAACATTTTGTTCTCCTACCTTATGTCATGTAAACAGGGGCTGCTGCAGAATTTCGCCATGTTCTGTACTGTACATTTTCTAGTGCTGATAAGAACAATCTACACAACATGGAGGATCACTTAATGTGCTGACAATTTACCCAGGCCCCGTTAAGAACTGCACAGAGCGACATGCAGTGGCGCTGTAACTGGGCACTAGCATGTTCTGCTGTGCTACGCTGTGTGGTTCTGTGCTGCTGGGGGCTTCAGGTTCCCAAATGTACAGTGTTTAACGGGGCTGCATGCATGCAGAAATATGCATGACTGGAAATTTAAGTCTGGGTCTTGCTGATCGCTGCACAGTGTCGGACTCTGTCTCCCAGCACTCCAGAAATCTCTGGAGGGCGACACCAGACAATCTAAATTTAGAAATCAAGTGGGAGGATATCAGATGCTCCCCTTGTGGGTAAGGTCAGGGAACCTCAGCAGCTCCTCCACAAAAGGGCTTTTTGTGGAATTGGGAGAAGACGAAGACTAATATTACTGCTACCAATAAAACAGTTAGGGGGAAAAAATGTTTATTCTAAAAATAAAAACTAGCATTTGCTTCCAGCAAACAGGAGATCCAGATCACAAGTGAGCAGAAGCTAAGGTTTGCCATTTCTGTGTACTGATCTAGGAAAAGGCTTTGCAGTGGGTTTGTGATTCTGTCAGAAGCGAAGGATCTCTGGGATTCTGCCTCTCGCCACTGTGACAACAGCACAAGAGATTTTATGGGAATATACTCCTGAAAAGCAACACTGTGTGATATCTTTCTGGATGGCACAGTGCTTGTCTTGCTTTCCCAGCATCTCAGAGCTGTAATTGCACTCAAAATTCCTGCATGATGTTGGTGTTTGGCTAGTTTCTACGGACACAGCTTTATTTGGCTCACAGTTTCAAGAGCACTTTCTCTTTACTCTCTGCCCTGCTTCACATATGGGGTAGTAAACAGGCTTCAGACTGGATTACTGAACTGATTGTTCATCATTAAGAGTGCAGCTGGTAGATTGTATCTCATTCGTTTGATCGCAATTATTCAATTAATAAGCCCAGGAGATGTTCCACTATACTAGAGATGGGAAAGACCGTGAAGCAGTGTTTCTTTGTGAACTATTTAAATAGCATTCGGCAAGGCTTTCATGTTATTTTCCATGAGAAATAGGCATTCTTGCGATAAAAAGGATAACTGAACTGCTTTGATGGCCAGCTCAATTGATTGCAAGCTAATTAGTGGCTCTAACTGCAGACCTCCATTGAGAGCATGTAAATCCCTGCTTATTAATTTTTGTTCTGTTCTGAAAACACTTTTCCCCTTACAAACAACTACAGAGTCACTAGGAGTGCACGGAGACCTCTACAGCAGATGCATATGTCCAAGATTAGGCTGAGTCGAGGTCACAGAGGCCCTATCGTTTGGGGATTAGTGGCTTGATAGAGGAAGTGAAAACCACTCACCAAATTACTCTGCCTGTCTCACATGTGGGTTAAGTAAAGTTGAATCTAATGTTTACACTGAGCAATTAATTCTGAAGCATTAGGAGGATTTCGTAAAGGTCGGGCCCATGCCAGTGGTATTATACAACCCCTGCAGACAAGCCGCAAAAAGACACAGTGACAAATGCAAGATGATTGGGGAAAACAGAGGGCAATGACAAGAATAAAAGAGATGGGAGAGTGTGAAAGATGAAAGGGGCACCTCCTGCTGCCCAGCAGCAAACAATCATTAACAATAGAGCCCCCATCTGTCGAAACCTTGAACAAATGTTGCCTGAAGTAATAACACCAGTCTGCACTGCCAGTGTGCTGCAGAGTCTGGGCAGAATGAAGATTAGATGGCTATTAACGCAATACTCAATTGTAAAGCCATTATTTCAGGCTCAGCGAGAGGCCGCCACTACTTCGCCTGAGGAAATCAGGCAGATCTAGCCAGGTGAGAGAAGGTGTCGAAACTCCCAGCAGTGTGTGTGGTACTTGCATTTGTGAGTGCAATTCAGAAGCTGTTCGTGCAGTTAATAATAATATAATAATAATTGCTTACACTTATATAGCGCTTTTCTG